AGCTTCAAAATGAGTCCAATTAGTCGTATAAATTCTGAAATTTCTCGGGGGATGCCCCTCGGACCCCCCCCCCCCCCTCTCCGTGCTTGGGGCCCGGACCTTAAAACTGGTACCAGGGCCCGAGATGGGATGTGGCGGGCCTGAGCATTGGTCATGATGGAAAAGTCAAAACTCACCCAATGATTTTAATATAGCATTCGTAGCTTACAAAGTGATCGGTCAAGTAAAAGTCAAAGAGAGTTGGATTTCACCCGCATTCTTCTGCAGATAGACTTATTTCCTGTAATGTAATACCAAGTACGCCATACATGTCTGTCTACACTGAAAAAAAAAACATTGGATCAAGAGTCCAGACTCTTAAAAACATCGACAAGAAAAAGTACTCTTGATTCAATCAGAATCTAGCTTAAATCAAGAACCAAGCCTCTTAATTTAAGCGGATTTCGTTTTGATTCAAGCAAAAATCTGATTGAATCAAGAGTATTTTTTCTTGTCAATGTTTTCAAGAGTCTGAACTCTAGATCCAACGTGTTTTTTTCCCAGTGTACCTGAGATCTTTCGGAAGAATTCCATGCGCTCCAAGTTGAATCATGAATTTTTACCACTTCGTCTTCAATTTATGACCGTTATGGAACCCTCGGGCGGAAAATTTGAACGAAGGACTGACCAGTTTATATTTGTGACATAGATGTTTCAGACATGGCGACCCACATCACGGGCTCAAACTAAATCAATACCAAAATGAAACAATACAATTTTTTTATTATAATAATAATTGAGACGTTTATTTATTTGTGACCAACCTCGGAAAACAGCGCCTTTTTAGACCACAAAACTGAAAATCGGGGGATGGAGACCGAAGCGTGTTGGAGAGTGTCTCATGAATTTTTAGACTAAAACACCCGAAATTTGACGTGAGGGCGGCACCTCACCTAAAGATGAAGGGCTCATATTCAGGTGAGGTGCCGCCCTCACGTCAAATTTCGGGTGTTTTAGTCTAAAAATGCATGAGCCTATATAACCGCCTATATTATAATAGCCCTGTTTCCAGGGTACATGTGAAAATATAATTACCTACGTGCTTGCGTCAGAGTTAAGAAGAGCCAGTTTCGAGAGAATGCTCCATTTGAATGGACGACAAAGTACGAGTTTAAAAGCGCTACAGTTCTGCCGTGATAGCGAACAGAGCCGTGAGTGCAAAAATGAAGCTTTGAGAAAATAGACTCGCAATAGCGTCGGGGCAGAAAATGTTATTGAAAATCGCCTACCTTCTTGGTCAAGTTGGCTTTAATCATCCGAAAGACTTTCATAAATCGTTTGGATATTAAAAATCGACGAATTTTTTATTCAACTATACATGGAAAGGGTCTTTTGAGCTCGCCCACTCGGGAGAGCTCTTTGCGATCGATTTCTTTTAGCATTGGTAGTGTCCGTGGCGACAAATGGATGGTTCTCGTTGCCGTCGGAGGAACGGCCAAAATCCCATTGATTTCAAGGTCTAAAAGTTGAATTTTCGCGGGTTACAGTTTTCCTCCGTCGAACATTTCCGTTCCCTCATTCAACTGAGGATTAATTGTTCCTCGTTTGCTACACTAGAGAGCAGCACTTTCCGGTGGCCGAGCAGACTTGACTCACACCAACACGAATTTGTTTGTGTATGTGTTCACCTTTATGCTAAATTATTTATATGTATTATTTTCCGTTCACATTTTCAAAAACTGAAGTCCTATTTTTTTGCTGTTCCGTTGCGATAAAATTATCAGCTGACTGCTATCTCTATGCTATCTTATTAGAGAATCTTCCAGTTTCCTCGGTTACAGAGTGTAATGGAAAATCCTTCTTTTCCGATGAGACAGTGACATCCTGAATTTTTCTATTTCCGATAAAATGAAGAGACGCTCTACAAACCAGGTACTGCTTTTTGAACTCATTTATTTTCTTCCTATTTTTTACGAAGTACTATACTTACTTTCCAGATAAATCTTAATAATTTTGTGAAAGACGAAGAATAAATGTGATAGAATTTTACACATGATTGTCCGCAGGAAAAGAAGGTTTATAGTTTACAGATTCAAATTTACTTGTTATGTGAAAGACTCGTGTTGAGTTTTGTTGAAAAATTAGATTGTACAAGGTAATATGTACTCATATTAATGGGCTAGTTCAAAAGCGGATTCAGCAATTTGGCAACACTGCCTTCCTTCCATTTAAACCTGTGTTGAATAATCGATTCTTGGCGGAGCACCTGGCCCCTCCTGGAATCGATACATTTACATATGTTTAAATGAGGAAAGAACAATGTTGCCAAATTTTTGGATCTGATAATGCGCTGGTCACAGAATTTTTGTTGATGTACGTTTTTTGCCGAGTTTTACATTTTATAACCAGAGCAAATATGCGTTACATTGACTAATAATGGGCCTGTTGCAAACTTTTGCTAGAGCAAAAATAAGAGTTGTTTCCTATAGATAATGCCTCAAAAATCACGATGAGCGCATCGGAAAACTCTGAAATGCACTCATAACTTCACAATCTGCGTAAGAAATTTGCGTTTTTTTGAGCTTCCCGCTTCAAAAACGATACTACGGCATAGGTGAACATTTTGTTAGAAGAGTCACTCCATCGTCGGCAATATTCATCATGGCCGACGCTTGCGCAGTTCCGCGCGTGATTCGAGGAGAGTTCAAGGTCAATCAAGGCGGGTGAGGAAAATATGAACGTAAACACGCCAATTGTTATCTGGTCTAATCCTGTTCAGGTGTTATCTCGTCTCATCATAGGTGTTTTGGCGGATTGTCGTCGGCCATGATGAGTATTGCCGACGATGGAACGACTCCTCTAACAAAATGTTCACCGATGCCGTAGTATCGTTTCTGAAGCGGGAAGATCAAAAGAACGCAAATTTCTTACCCAGATTGTGAAGTTATGAGTGCATTTCAGACTTTGCCAATGCGCTCATCGTGATTTTTGAGGCATTATCTATAAGAAACAACTCTTATTTTTGCTCTAGCAAAAGTTTGCAACAGGCCACTGAGGCACACTGAATTCAGTGACCATTCACCTGTATATATGCAAATATAAAAATAAAAAAAAATAAATAAATAAATAAATAAACTGAGTTTGTTGTTTATTTTATTTATTTTTTTATTTGCATATATACAGGTGGACGTGCATTATAATTTGATAAATTTGTGGAAACAACATCTAGCTGAATAAGGCATCAAAACTGTCAGGAACTGTGTCAGATAGTAATCAGAAACACCATGCCCCATGTACATCCACTAATAAAATTTATTGCCAATAATTGTCCTAGTTCATCTTTCCCTGTCAACTTTACAATAAATTTCGTTGTACCATTTTTCTATTGTATTTTGTCTTATCTCACTCTTATCTTCTGTTTTATTAATGATTCAGTTTATTTATTGCGGTGTGAAAAATTTGTCATGTTAATAGTTTCACGAAGGCGAGCTCTCCAACACAGTAGTGTTGGAACCAGCAGCTTGTTTTATTTTCATGTTAGGCTAATGTTGGGCAAGACATGCCGTTAGTCCTAACCGTGGTAAAAATTGGCGATAAAAGCTGCGTTTCAAAATACCATAGGAGTTCTTATAGCCAACTGAAGAAGGCGATAGAAAATCATATAGCTGGCTGTAGAAAGTGGAAACAATTAAAAGGCCGGGATACACGAAGCGATAAAAAATTACGCGATAAAATATCACACAAATTGGCTTTACACTTTATCGCCTGGCTGTTGCTTTTTCGCCATCGGCTATAAAAGGCCATAAGGAATTGTGTAGAAATTCGTGTGCTTTGTAAATCCTTGAATCACCTTAATATTTACAAAACGCACATTATTATTTTCATCAATTACAATGAGAATAATCCATATAGAGTGTGCAAACATTTCAAAATCATGAGTTGAAAAACGCTGACTCCACGAGATTAAATATTAGAGCCTAACACAAAGCGGAGCGGCGGCGCACTGGCGCCTACAAACCTAACAGGGATACTTCACACATTGCGCAATGCGTGAAGTATCAATGTTAGGTTTGTAGGCGCCAATGCGCGTTTCGCGCTGGCTGCCCGCCCACCGCGCCGCGCCGCAGCGTACCACGGCGCTTGAAGCAACTATTTCACACTAGAGGTATTGAACAGTATCATACGAAATTGAAGGCGCTCCAACATATCAGGAATGGCAGGCATCCTTCAAAAGTACGGAGCTTTCCTCGCAAAATAAATTAAGATACCACGGCCCAAAAAGAGAGCGGTAGTCCAAAAATTCACTAAGTCCTAGCATCCGTCATTAGTAAAGTTTAGCATACACTTTATTTCCAGGCTGTTGCTTAATCGCCATCGGCTATAAAAGGCAATGAGAAATTATGTTGCCGGCTATAGAAGCTATTGGAAATCTTACAGCCGGCTGTAGGTCTAAGGTATTTTGAAACACAGATTCTACTGCCAACTTTTACCAGGGTGTCTTCTGCAGGCTTTCGTGGTTGCGTTTTGGACACGCAACGAACATATTTTCAGGTTAAAAATTTGCAGAAAAAGACGCTACTTTACTTAAAACACTGCTCTATTGGCTCTCTGGCGACAAAACACTCCTTGCTACTGCTTCGTTTGAACCAGCGTCCATTTTCGCACACTTGCAGTTTTTTCAAGTCAGGAGTTTTGCTGTTTCAGCAGCCTCAGTGATTTCATCGAAATTAGATCAGAATTTGGAAGAAACTCGATTTCGGAAATTTCAGAGCTACGGCTCTCGTCGCTATACACGGCAGAGTAATTTCATGCTTCCTCATCAAAATTTTAAATATAACGCGATGGATGTCTAAAAATATTTCAAACCCAACTTCATAAATGAAAGTCTACTCTAGTCATATCAGGGTGGTCAAATTTCATGGAGGATGCAATCGCAAAACAGGGATATACAAAAGATATTCATAGAAATATCTCAAATCGTGGATTACAAACACACGCGCGAAATAATTATCAAAACGCTGTTGAAATCATTTAAAGACTAGTTTTTCTAGTTTATATATCATGCATGTTCCTCAAACAAGATAGAGAGAAATACAAATTCTGAGTTAGATGAAAATTTTTGGACTTTTCTGGTTTTGTTTGGCGGTTTTTCCGGTGTGTGGCGTCCCCGCACCTGAAAGAAATGTTTCATAATTTTCGACAGTTCCACGTAGTCGTGAAATTTCATGAAGTATTTCGCTAAAATTACCAATCTTTCATGAAGTATTTTGCTAAAATTACCAATCTTTCATGAAGTATTTCGCTTAAATTACCAATCTTTCATGCAGTATTTCACTAAAATTACCAATTTTTCATGAAGTATTTCACTAAAATTACCAATCTTTCATGAAGTATTTCGCTTAAATTACCAATCTTTCTTGAAGTATTTCACTGAAATTACCAATCCTTCACGTGTTCTTTTCGTTTCATATCAACCTACCTTAAATTGAGCACAGAACTGATTTCGTGGACCTTCAAAAGGCCTCTTTTCCTGCGAAAAGTCACATTTTATAGCCCCTCTGACGCAAGGGCGGTTTTTTAATTTGCGCATGAGCCCCAGAGAGCTTGGATTGATACGTAAAACAGGGCTCACGTAAAAACTAAGATACGTCCTTACATCAGAGGGGCGACGATTTAAGGTTATGTTCCTGAGACAACAAAATTCTTAGAACACTTTATAAACTTTGAAGGACCGGCGCAAGGTACTCGACTAATTTACCACAGTGCACAGAATGCCATCCGATGTTTGTATCGATCTTATCCAAGGCCCTTTGGACCGCCGGCTCGGAGGATTTGAAAAAACCGTCGTATTTTTCGATGAAAGCTTTCATTTCGTCATACTCAGCCGATGTGACCATTTGGTCCGCCAGAATTTCGACATACCGCCCCATTTCGCTTTTCTTGGCTCCATGATACGCAAAAATATCTGACACACGCTTCATGAAGAAGTCTTTGGCGACGTCGAAACCCACTTCGTTGTCGGCCACTGCCTCGAAGAGTGTCAAAGATTCCGGGGGGCGAACTTCAGAAGTCCTATTGTATACCCATTCCAGATATTGTTCAAGGTCCCCTACCTGAAATTAAAGGAGAAGGTTTAGATATTATAGATACAAATTTTTAAGAGCAGCCCCAGACATGATAACAGCACTGAAAAAAAACACATTGGATCTAGAGTCCAGACTCTTAAAAACATCGACAAGAAAGAATACTCTTGATTCAATCAGATTTAAACTTAAATCAAGAACCAAGCCTCTTAATTTGAGTGGATTTCCTTTTGATTTAAGCAAAAATCTGATTGGATCAAGAGTATTTTTTCTTGTCAATGTTTTCATGAGTCTGGACTCTAGATCCAATGTGTTTTTTTTCCAGTGAGTGGAAAAAACAAGGAGGAAAAGCGGGAAACAAGGCTAAATATACACAATTAATAAAACCCGAGACGTTTTGACCCAAAACTGAGTCATTTTCAGTCGGAAACAATAAAAATTTAAAAGAAAAAACGAGATCTCAGAACTTTTTCTCAGATCCCTGCCACCACCATGTAGGGCTCAGATTTTTTATCGTTTTTTCTTTTAAATTTTTATTGTTTCCGACTGAAAATGACTCAGTTTTGATTCAAAACGGCTCGGATTTTATTAATTGTGTATTTTTAGCATTGTCTCCCGTTTTTCCTCCTTGTTTTTCCCACTTATAGATATTATACAGGTGCCAAAAAAAAACGCACCCATCTTGAATAATTTCCAAACGAATCCGAATACTAAAACGGCAAACCGCGTGTTTAAGTTTTACAAAGGGGACACCTTTTCGGAATATCTGCAAATTCGGATCCCCACCCCCCTCAGGCCACGTTTCAGCGCTTTTGGATATTCAAATTCGTTCAAAATATATTACAAATGAATACATTCTTTTGAAACACCCTGGATGTATTACAGTTTACACATTGATTTTAGAATTTAAGGGGATTCGTCCCTGGTTTTGGCATGGTCGAATTGACCTACGATACACATCGAATAAGTTGAAAGGTAAATTTTGACTTCAAATCACTCTCAACCAAGAAAGATGCAAAGTTCACGGAGAGTAAAACAATTTCCGTCATTGGTAGGAAAGGGTTGGGGTGGTGGTGTTGCATTCAAAACAGTAATTTTGAACGGCCTTTTTTCAGGGACTCAGGGTGAAATTGCGAATAGAATTATCTGAAAAATCGGAGGGAAAATATTCATGAGAATATTCTGAGGAAATTTGGCAACGCCTGAAGGCTCATACGGCGTTTTTCCTTCGCACGGCAGAAGACTCTATTACACCTTTCTCACGCGTTGAAAGCTTTTCGATCTAGTTTCGTCCGTGGAATATGATTTTATGAATTGATCTAGATGGTATACTAAGTTAGAGCGGTTGATCTAGATGGTATACTTTGTTAGAGCAGGTTAAGGATGAGAGAATAATCGACTTCAAGGGCGCCGACTCGGAATTCCGGTATCTTTCCCAGAGGAAGCCCCACACCTCAGCGCCTCCTTTCTTGAGAGCAATGCAGCAAACTTGTCTTAAAACATTCCTTGGGATCGGGATCACGGAGTCGGGAGTGAGGCTGCTGCTCCTTTACAAGAACAGAAGAATGCACTATTATACAAAACATTTTTTTTTAAAATTTAAGCATCATGATGCATGCTTTGATTATGAGATTTCACTCGGAATATGATTTGGATTACTTTTTGCTATTCGGAGCAGTGGCGTGGCGTAAATGATCGATTATCGATATTCCCCCATTTGAAGCTATGGTGAAGAATCGATTAATAAGGTGTTCGTTGCGAACACCCTGTTCATTGATCATTTTTCATTGGTTTAAATGACAGATCAATTGATACACTGCAAAGTACGCCACGCCACTGATTGGGAGCTACAATCTCTAGCTCACTATAGAGACGACGTATGTGTCATTAGTTTCCCTATGCACATAAGTTTTTTTACTGATGAGCCAGACATTTAAGTTCAGAATTGCAAACTGGACCGCGTTAAGCATGAAAGAAATCAAGCCACGTCACCTATTGCCAAATGTAATTTGGGGAATTTAATTTTTTACATTAAAACGATTTTGCTGATTTTTGTACACATTTCAGCGAATTTTCTGCATAGTGCGAAGCAAATTCCTCAAAAATTTTCGAAGGAATCCGCACAGACGTTCTCTTGCGAAGAATTAAACTGCCCGGTAGAATTTGGCAATAGCTAATATGGATTGGTTCATTTCTGTTTAACGCGGTCCAATTTCAGTCCATTTGGGCAACGAAAACAGTTGAAAGCACAGTAAACCCCCGGTTATTCGACATTCTGGCTAGGTTTAGAAACAACGTATGAAGCATTAGTTTCCCTGGCTATCGATATGGATGCCTAAGTTCGAAACCGCGTACCTCCGTTTGCGACAATACGGACTTCCTGTCATCCTTCATTGTTTCTTTGGAAAACCAGTTGGCGTAATTTCTTGAGAACTTCTTTGATTTTTCTCAACAGCTAGCAAAATATCCTGTAAACAATTCAAGCTATGAAGTCAGCTTGGTTCTCTTCGAAAAAATAAAAACGAGAGCGGAAGTTTGAACCACAGCAATAGAGATGCGTGGTTTCGGACTTTGGCCACCGATATATCGTCACCTTGGTCAAAGTATCACAAGCGCTGTGCAACGTCTAAAACATTCCGCCGCTATTTTATTTTTTTGACAGAAAAATTGTTGATTGAATCTGTTTGAAAATTTCACTGAATTTTATCGGCAGCACGAAGAAAATTCAGTGACATTTTCGGACAGCTTCGTTGAACGACTTCTCTGTAAAAAAGTAAAATGGCGGCGGAAATTTTAAACGTCGTAGGGCGCTTGTGATGTTTTGCCCAGAAGTTGACGATATAACTCTGCTACTATAGGGTAAAAAAGAATGAACATTTTATGATCGGGTCAAAAACACTAAACAAATCGAATTTCAAGGGAGGGGGCAAGGAAGAGAATAGAAGGGAGAGAAGAAAAGAGATAAGGGGAGGGGAGAATGAAAGAGAGAAAAGAAGGGAGAGGAGAGGAGAGGAGAAAAGAGAGAAGATAGAGGGGAGGGGGGAGAGGGAGAGATGACGTCAAAATTAGCCTACCAGTTCGCAAAAAGATACAGAGCCTGCCTTTCATAGTTCCCAATTTTGAAGTGAGTTGCAACTTCCGCCATGAGACTCTGCTTCTCAATAGTCCGAGCCTCAATTGGAGTCTCTGCTAGAGATCCGGATTCTTTGACGATTGGATTCATCAGCTTCTGCAGGTAGTTCTAGAAGAATAGATGCAGTAACTTTTGACTATTTACGCTAAAAAGAGCAACACGTGCAAATGAATTGAAGGGAGAGAAACTGTGTATATTGCGTTTTGCAAGAAGGAACCAACGTCCATTTGTATAAAACGAAAGTGTAATTTCTAAAATATTGAAATTTGAAACGCAAATTGAAAAATGTAGAAGAGGAAACCTTGAAGCAGGCTCACACCTACCTTCGTATTTCCAGAATTAAATAATTGTTTCTTATCAATTTTCTACATTTTGAAATGGCTGATCGGACGTATTTATGCTACATGGAACTATGTGCAAAGAGAAAGATGGTAGTGACGGTGATCATAGGTGTGATCTATCAAATACGATCCATAAAAACCATCGAGTGAACGTGCCGGTGGGGGAGAGGTGTATGAGACGGGAGACGCGTTTACTCGTGTTGGGCAAATTTTTTGTGAAAGCCCTGTCAAAACTAACAAAAGTTTACGGGAATTTGCGCGAAAGTTAAGTTCCGTGAACCCATCCCTGTTTGGACGAGGCCTTCCATTTATAACAAACGAAAAAAAAATTGTGAAAGAACAAACATAAATGTGGTTAATAATTTTAACATCCGCCGCCGCGCCGACCGCACAGTGTTTAGCGCAATGCGTGAAGTGTTCATGCAGTCTTGTAGGCGCCATGCGTTTCAAGCCGACTGCTGCTGACCGCAGTATGTTGGACGCAATGTGTGAAGTATCCATGCAGTCGTGTAGGCGCTATGCGTTTCATGCCGACCGCCGCGCCGAGGGCTTCTCCTTTTCATCCCAGTACTCGTCATCATTGATCTCTGCGCCGCTCCACTCCTGGTCAAATTGCGTGTTTGGTTTCTCTCTTAACTCGACTAATTAAAGGTGCTGTCTCTTGTATCACCGAAAGACGACAAAATCAGAAATTACCATACTATTACTCGCAGAAAATGAGAGATTTTGTCGCCTTCTCTCGTTTGTAATTTATTTTCTGAATCCGATTTTTTTTCTCTTTTTTTTGATACCTGCTTTTAAAATGATTGCAAAATTTGTCGCCCCCTACATTTTGCCGCCATGAGCCACGGCCCACGTGGCCACCCCCTTAATCCAGCCCTGATATCCACTTTTACATTGTTTCTTATCCAGTTCACTACGAGCACACCCCATATTCCCACTCGCACGTGGTTCCTTTTAAATAATATAAAAATATAATTAACATAAATACGTCCAATGAACTGCTAGACAAGGTACGAATTTTAGTATTCTGATACATGTTTCTTAACCAGAATTTCACGTAGAACACGATTCGCGCAACGAAAATTACTGAAACCAACTCCTGACGGAGATATTAACATTTTTATTTCACATTGGTTACGAGGAATTTGAGCTGCCCGCTCACAAGAAACTCAAAGCTCTACGTGAGTCAAATCGCCCACCACAACGGTTTCAGCAAGCCTCTCAATCGAGCAATATACATTTCCCACCATGTGTTGTGCAAACTATACGCAATTTGCTATAGCTGAGCCGAAGTGTCAAGATTGAGGTTGCCAGATTTTTATATCGCAGAGACTGTCATGATAACGTTTAGCGCTCGATGTGAATCACGTAGAGCATTGAGTTTTCATGAGCGGGTGGTTTGAATTCACACATCAAGAATCATTAATTATCTTCGTAAGGAGTTAATTTCGGTAATTTTCGTTGTGCGCATCGTGTTTTACGTGAAATTTTGGTTGTGATATATGTATTAGAATGCTGAAATTCGTAACTTGTCTAGTGGTCAATTGTGGCGTAGGTGAATGAGTTTACCTTGAAATAGGCATGATTGGGAGATCGGCGAAGAACAAGGTCGAGTTGTCGGAGGCTGGCAAGTGCCCCGCTCAGAGGCAAGTAGTCCGTTTCGTGTCGAAGACTCGCGCAGAGGGAGAAGACCAACTTGTAATCCAATTCTTGCGACCAGCCAAAGTCAAGCGCGTCCCGGTATATTTGCTCCCGGTTCAGAGGGTGGATTTTCTCTCGGGTTTCCCTCGTTTCCAGCGCACCCTTCAGCAATTCCCAGTTTTCCTCGTAGTAGTTCACTTTGTATAAGGCTTGTAGGAACGAACAATATTAGAATGGTGACAGGAGAAAATGTCCAGTCTGAAATGTCCAACTATAAAAGTCGAGATGTCGGAGTTTTTTAGCCAACGTGCGTAAAAACTTCAGCTTAAAGCTGAAATCTCATTAGAGAGGGAAAAAGCCCACACACGAGCACAATTTTCCTTCAAAGAGATATGCTGTTTGGAGCAACACTAGTTACGTCCATTTAGGAAGGCAACTACAGACGCGTTTCGGCCTTGTTGGCCAATCCTCAGTGCAGTGCAGCCTCCTGAATTTTCTGCTACCAAGCTCGAGAGGTCGTGAAAACCAGCCCGAGACTTGGGCAAGCGGACGCGGCGACAAGTAAAATTGTGCTCGTGTGTGGGCTTTTTCCCTCTCTAATGAGATTTCAGCTTTAAGCTGAATTTTTTACGCACGTTGGCTAAAAAACTCCAACATCTCGTCTTTCGACCTGTGCGTTCACCGCAATTGGTTGGTTGGTAACTATAAAAGTGTCCAATAAAAATACCTACTGTCATAATGTCCTCTTTTAAATGTCCATTGCATAAAATGTCCTTTTGACGAAAATACCCATGTTATCTAATGTCCAAGGCGCTAAAATGGCATGTATCTATGACCATGCCCACAGTAAACATATTTACTTATGTCATTGACACAATCAGGGGTTTTCCTCCTCATCAGCACGTTCTACAGCAGGTTTATATTATGCAGGTCTTATGTTATTATTTTCAAACATTTTATGTCATGGACATTAAAAAGAGGAAATTACAACAGTGAGTATTATTTCTTGGACATTTTTATAGTTGGACACTTCCGACTGGACACTGTTCATTTTCGCTGATTGCCTATTGGCCATTAGGGTTTACACGCGGTTCGTGGATTTTTCTCATGAGGCATATAGAGTCGTAATCTGCCGTGCTAACGAAAAACACCGTATGCACATTCGAGAGTTGCCAAATGGAGAATTTGCATGCAATTTTTTTTGCTTCATCTGAAAGTGCTTAAACATCTGATTTCGCAGTATTTTTTATAATTTTTTTCTGATATGAAAAATAGTATAAAAATAGATTTAAAAGTGAGAAAATGCACCGCCTAGTGACATCATCTGGCGGCATTTTCCAACACCCGTATTTTAGCAGATTGGATCATTTTCTCATATCTTCTCCAATAATTGTTTAATTAATGAACCAAGGGTATCCTTGTGTTCCCTTCATTCAGTAGTTTCCACTTAAAAACGAAATTCATCACATTTCAGACACCTGCGAATTCTCTATTTTCTCCGATGAAATGTCTATCTCTAAGAGAGTTGTGAATAATTTCTCTTGAAATTTTCAGGTATTTTGGATCTTATTACCACAAAAATTCTCTGGAAAATTGAACAGAAAATATTCACAAGTTTTCCTGAAAATTCGTATTTAATTGAAGGTTTGGCAACTGGCGAAGGTTCGTAGGGCATTTTTCCCAAGCACGGTAGTACCTAATAGGAATGAAAAAGCTGAACTAATAAAAATATTTGTTTTCCTGTGTTACTTTTGGTTAATATAGGAAAAGAGACACAAACCAAAACAATTTTTTGTTGATTTTGGTACAGTTAGCGGTGAATTTATCGCAGATATCAATGGAAAGACTCGGAAAATGCGTCCCTCAGATTGCGACGTCGGTGTTTATTAATTTCAATAATCAGCTCGCAGGGAGTTGTCACGACATGAAATAGATTACTTTTCTACCCAGCGTTTAAGTCTAAAAGTTATCTATTGACTAGATATCCAGGGGGTATTGGTGCCACAGTGATGCATTTACAATAAACTCATGCAAAAGGAGTCTGCAGGCTGATTATTGACACTGACAGACAAAGAGGACAAAGGGAAAATATAGCGATCCTATTGGTTGAAAGAGGCGATTGTTATGAACTAATTGTAGAGTCTTGAGTGGGTTGCCGTTCGCAAGTCTATCGCACTTACCTCCTTTGTCCATTGCAACTACCCGCTTCCACCGATAAGATTGCTCCATTTTATCTCTGTCTCCTATGTCTATCAATTCCAATGATTGGCCTGCTATAAACTACGGCTGAAGCGGAAACTAAAATTCTTTTCTTTGAGAATCGGGTTGAAAATCATCCGCTATGAGACCAGGCATGGAACAAAACGACCAAAAATGAAATGTTGAATTGTTCAGCAGAGCGAAATGATCGATTTTCCAATTCTAATGAAGATCAATACTTATTTCAAACATTTGAGGATTTTGGGATACAATTTTAAGTCGAAATTTTTCATTGTTAACGAAATTATAAGCATTTGAAATTAACCATGTCAGAAGCTGGTTGTAGAGAGCGAAAAATTCTATTTCTGGTATTCAGAACATCAGAATTATGACATCGCCGAAATACTTCTGGGAGATTTTTGCAAAACTTGCAAACGGCAAATCTTCACCTAACTTTAGGTGGGGTGACTCTTTAAACAGATGAAGTGACATCACCTAAGATTTTTAGTGGCAATGCCTGCAAATTTTAGATACATGGCATCGCCTATCCGCAATGTCCTACCTTACTAAGAATAAGTGAGGTGGCCAGTTTTACCTATATTCAATTCGACAGAGTTCTCTGCGCCAAAGGTACCCGTGCAGAAGGAATAAATGACAATTTTATGTTTGGTTTGAAAACGGCTTCAGCATTTTGAATTTTCATATTCTAAAAATGAGGGTCTTCTTGTCGTTCTACTCCACGCGATAAAACATATCGACGATGTAAGTCGGCAATCACATCACTCGGTTTGCGACGTCGCAGACTTCCTGTCATACTTCATTTCTTAAACGGAAAACTACTCAACGGCATTTCTTTAAAACTGCCGTGATTAGTCTTCTCTGTGCGAAAAAAATTCTTCGCACAGAGAAGACTTTAAGAAAAAACTTCAAGGAATGATGTCAATTTATTCTCTCTTAAAAAAATAACATAGAGGTGGAGATTTTCGGACACCGCAAAGGAGATGTGTGACTGCAGACTTACACCGTCGATATTTTTTTCTCCTTCTCTCGTTGAAATATGAGAAAATCCATCGGTCTCATTGAAAATAAAAATACTAAGATATTAACCTGCAACTTGGAGGTTGAAAACTATCCAGTCACGATCTGCAACTTTGATATCCGAGATCATGGGGCTTTGTTCTCCGGTCAGCCATTGCTCTGGTTTGGTGTTTGAAAAATCGGCAATTTTCCCTGTCGTGTAAGTGATTGGAATTGGCCAATAAGTTGACCCATTTTTCGCAGTCGTCTTGGAGGGTACACATTTTGGGTCAAACATACGCTAAAATATATTAAAATCCGTCATGAATTGGTTGAACTATACAGTATCCTCCCGACCACTAATGCAATCATAAGCACACCTAGGTCATTTTTCTGGGGGGAGGGGGGTGGGCGCTGGCCATACTACTACCGAGGAGTCTGGGGTATAGTATGGAATATCCCCCACCTTAGAGGGAGGTCTCCCCCCGAAAGTTTTTGAAATTTTACATCTATTTGGACGCATTTTGAGGCTTCCATAATGAAATTTTTTGAAAATACTAACTACATGAACACGAAGTTTTCATGTAAGACTCTATCTTCAAAGAGATAATAATCCTCAACGAAAGTTTTTTCCTACCATTCAGAATTTCTGGGGGGAGGGGGGGCAGCTGACACTATTTCTCCATTTAAACCAATGGAAAAGTATCGATTCTTAGAGGGGCTCGGTGCTCAAGGAAGGATCGATTATTTAACATAGGTTTAAACGGAGGGAATCTGATGTTGTCAAATTGCTAAATCCGCCAATGGGAGCGGACTTTAGAGGGCATTCTGAGCCCTTAGGGGTTGGCCAGGGAGCACCCTCTACACTGAAAAAAAATTCTCGGCGTTTTTACCAAGGTCCGTTGGCACCTTTACCATCTCACTTTTTTTACCAATTATTGGTAATTTTACCAAGACAGACTAGTAAGCTTACCTAAAAACCGGTATTTTTACTGTTTTTTTCAGGTAAGAATACCACTTTTATTGGTAATCAATTCCCGGTAACTTTGCCATTTTATCTCGGTAATTCTACCACAGTCGATAAAAAATATTGGCGTTTTTACCAAGTTCCAGTAAAATTACCGAGAAAGTTCAATAATTTTACCACGATTCCTCAGTAAAATTACCAATTCCATAAATGGTAATTTTACCAAGAAAAAACTGGGATCAAATAGAACCCTGAATTCTTGGTAATTTTACCCTTTTCTTAGTAAATACACCGATATTTTTTTTTCGGTGTAGTTTTCGTCTATTTTTGTAAGAATCGATTGTGTGATTGATTGTTGTGAACAAGATCTTTGGTACCTGGGAGAGTGTGAGAGTTCCATTCGAGTTCTTTTTAACGTCAAGCACTGGGTACCCGGTTTGAGTGGTCCACGGGTCCATGATCGTTTTGACGGAAGTTTTTGGATCCAAAACTCCATTCTCATGTGCTACCTCGGTCAGGGCTGTCCACAAGTCGTCCTGCACCACGTTCCCGTATTGGTGTCTCTTTATGTAATGCATCAGGCCGGCTCGAAGGATCTCCGTGCCCAGAAAATGACCAATCATACGGATCATGAACATGCCTGCGCCGAAAATGACCCAAGAAGCAGTGATCGCGATAAATATGGATTTTAACAGTTGGTTATCGCGATTATATCGGTGGCAATAAATCGAGATTTTATCACATTAAAAATTGCGATTCATGGCGATTACATCGCTACACATCGCAATTCTTTGTTCGATAAAATCGCGATTAATTTTCGTCGATAAGATCGGCATTAAATCGCCATTAATCGCGATTTTTATTCCGAAAATATCACGATAAATTGCCTGGCGATAGCATCGCAATTTTATCCCGATAAGATCGAGGATAATCGCTCAGATGATGATGATCCTAGCGATTTTATCGCTGATGAAGTTGCAATACATCCCGATTTTTACATTTGAAAATGCTACTTGAGGAGTGCACTGGCCGTGCCTGTGGTTGGACCGCGTTAAGCAAAAATGAGCATAGGCAGATGCAGCAAATTGGCAACGCCGGATTCCCTCTATTTAAACCTATGTCAATTAATCGATTTTTGTTGGGGCACCTGGCCCCTCCAAGAATCGATATATTTCCATAGGTTTAAATGAAGAAAAATAATGTTGCCGATTCTTTGGAAATTCTTTGCCAATGGAAATGAGATATGTGTTTAATGCTCCGCACCGCCTGACAAGATATACAATAATAACAAATTAAACAGCGGCTGACAAGGCTAAATTTTACATAAATAACACCAAGACGTTTCGGCTGAAAACTCAGCTTCCGTCAGTAAGCGTGGCGTTGAGCCCGAATTTTAGCCGAGATCCGAGCGTGGCGCCAGGATCTGTGGCTCATTGCACCGTAGTCCGCATTTCTGCCAAACGGAACTATGTGCATTATGACGTGATCCCGGGTATGCATGTATTCTTATGAGTCTCAGGACTTATGTCTTAATGCACATACTTTCGTTTGATAGAAATGCGCCCATTTACACAACATTTTGGTAACTTTTTTTTACTGTGTATACCAATCGTTTCAACCAATATATGATTGCTCCTTTTTCTTTTGTCTCATTCTCTATCAATTTCATAGTAAGTCCGCTAAACTACTTCTATCAACTTCATCATAAACATCATAACGCAGTGGAGGCGCTAGCTTTCGTGGAGAATTTCACTTGCACCTTCAAGTCAAGGAGTACATGGAAAAAACATGAACATCACCGTCTCCTCCTCGTGGTTTGAAAAAAAGCTTAAACTTTATAAACTCGAAAATCTAGCGTCGCGGAATAAGAACCTTTTTTGTAGCGTTCGGGGCCGAATAATCCGATAAAATCTTCAGGACGCGAAACTGAAGCTACAACAGGACTCGGTTTCTGCCACGTGGTTGTCAAATCCTCAATTTGCGATTGCATTTGGACATTCCACTCTGGATTCATCTGCAAATTATAAGATAAATCAGAGAGAATAAGAAACACATAGCATGTACACGGTGAAGCCGCTGCATTATTCCGGATGTTACGAAAAAATCACTCGCTAATTGCCGCTAAGCTTTGGGAACAATTTCCTAGTTTAGAGATCAAAAGGATTTCATTTTGCAAAAAGGAACCACTAGCATTGCAATGTTGCTAAGATTGTGCGACTTCTTTTGTCTTGGAGGAAAACCCCGATTATCCATTAATAGTTTCTATTTTACTCGCTAAAAACTGTAAATTTAAGAAAAAAATTATCATCTAAATTTCATGGTTTTTCACGATTTCCGCAATTTTATTGCAAAAGATGAAGTTGCACAATCTCAGCATCATTGCAATTCTAGTGGCTCCTTTTTGCAAAATGCAATCCAAAAGATATCAGTAACTAAGAAAAAGATGTCAAGCCTTAAAAATGACCAGGAAGGGTAAACAGTTGAAAGATCAGTGATAAGTATGTTTTACTGCTTAGTAGATTATCAGAGATTACCTGACTTTTCCCACAAATTCTCTAATTTTTTGCGATCGTCGCGAACTTTCTGATTTTTTCTGATTTTCCAGATCTCCGGCCACCCTGTGTATTATAGTATAGTATCGACTTTTTTAATTACCAACCGCATCTGTAGCAAAAATATGGAAGTACGATGCAAGTCCTTCGTTGAGCCACAAGTCAGACCACCATTTCATCGTGACCAAGTTCCCAACCCACTGGTGCGCGATCTCGTGCGTAATGATGGAAGCGACACGCCAAACCTTCGTAGCACTTTCTTCAAGAAGAAAACTCGATTCACTGAAAAACCCCACATTTCAACGGATTATTCGAAGAAGGGCGTAACTGCCAACATTTCGGACATTGAGTTTTCGACGGAATACTACACGGAGAAAAAAAACTCGTGCGTGGGACCCGAAGTTTAGGTCATATGGATCTCTGAAGTTTTCAGATTGAGCATCTGAACACTTTAGGTCTAGCTGCCGAGGTTCGGATCATACATCTGAAACTTCAGTTCTTACATCTGAAGTAGATATGAGAACTGAAGTACTTCGGATATGAGAACCGAAGTACTTCGGATGTGAGAACCGAAGTACTTTGGATGTGAGAACCGAAGTACTTCAGATGTAAGAACTGAAGTTTCAGATGTGTGATCCGAACCTCGGCAGCTAGACCTAAAGTGTTCAGATGCTCAATCTGAAAACTTCAGAGATCCATATGACCTAAACTTCGGGTCCCACGTACGAGTTTTTTTTCTCCGTGTATTTTTAGTGAGTGGTATCATCTTACCACCCGTCGATTCGACCAAAATTAGACTACATTTTGCGATTAGGAACTAAAATAACTGGCTCATCCGTAAAAACACATATGTACACAGGGCAACTAATGGTGCATCCATTGTTTCTAATTTGAACCAGGAATTGTAGTTCCGAATTGCAAAATGCAGTCCAATTGCTCTTTAAACATCTTTTATAACACGTAAAGATTGATTCAGTGGAGAAAAGGTGTAAAGGCAGAGCCACCTCTCTCAGCGCAAGGTGCCTCCTAATGATAAAATCATGGGCGAGGAGACAAACAATGAGTTTTAAAATTGGCATCGAACGCGGATACGGATGCTGTTTATCTGCCATGATACTGCTAAAAATTGCAGTACTTAGCAGTTTTGTGGGAGAGGAGCGTATCCGTGAAAAATTTTAAAAAAAAAATATTTAACATTTTTTGCACTGTCAATTGGACGTATTTCTGTCAAAGGGAACTATGTCCATTATGACGTGAGCCCTGTTATGCATATATTTTTACGGGTCTCAGGGCTCATGTCTTAATGCACATAGTTCTGTTTGACAGAAATGCGTCCGATTTTGGGAAAAAATTGGTAGTTTCCTAATTTTTTCCTTCAAACAGCTTGAAAAGTCATGTGAAAATATTCTTCAAAAGCATGTAAGACTTGGTAAGGGTGCATTCATTAATTATGGAACGCTCTAGGGGAAGAGGTTATGTTGCCGTGCTAAGGAAAAACGCCGTATGAACCTTTAGGCGTTGCGAAATTTCCATTTATTAAACACGATTTTCCTGGTAAATTTATGCATATTTTTCTTTCAATTTTTCAGATTATGTTGTTTGCAATTTCGCCTAAAGTTTCTGAAAATTTAAAGGGAACGTATTCATAACTTTCCTCAAAAATTAAAATTTCATTAAAGGAAATTTGGTAACTCCCGAATGTCCATACGGCGTTCCTCCTTAGCACGGTAATATGAGCGTGCGTGAAAAGGGGGAGAGGGGTCAATACCAGCTTTACGTATTCCTGTCTATTCATAAAAAACATAGAAAATCCAAAATTTGTCATCCTCATTTCTTCGACGGAATTTGTCACACCGTCATTAAAAATGCTTTAAATTTTATCCAGCTACATATTCAATAGTTTCCCTTAATTTTGTGGATCTTAAGCAGGCGGCCTATCGAGCGTTACGGAATTATTAAAGGGGGGCTCTGAGTTGCGTTACAAAGCGTTACTAGGGGAGACGAGGTTAACAAATACCGGGATATTTGTTACGTAATTATTTATGAGCACTCCCGGAATCCGCAAAATTTGATTCCTTCACTGAGCAGTTGACAATAAGTCAGCTTAGTCAAGTGGCCTGTATCAGGCCCCCTTTTGTGGATTCAAAATCCATATAGTGAGAAAAAGTACCAGAAATTGTGTGTTAATATGGAAGACAAAAACACAAAGTGACCTAAAAAGGCGGTTAAAATTTTTTTTACATTATTAGATTTTTTTCGGGTTACATGGACTAAATCATTGGGTTATTTTGACCAAATCTGAGTTTAAAACTGTTAACCTCGTTTAAAATCAGGCGCGAACCGCCAGCATCGAACCCGGATTACATAACTGACAGTCCGATGCGCTAGCCACTATCAAGTTGCAACTTCTGAGTGTCCCTAGGAGAAACTACAGTAAGTTAGTTGAGCAGGACACTTCCTTCATCCCTAGTTGTCTCAGAGTGACCTATGATTTCGGTCGATTTAACTAAAATTTTGGTCAATCAACCGAGTCAATTTGGTTGATCTGACAGAGAAAAAGTAACCCAAAGCAACCAAAAACATAGACATTTTTACCTGTGAGCGAAAACAATTAAGTTGCTGATTTAACAATTGAATTGCTGAAAAAAAAGTGACTGCAATATTTCAACGTACATTTAACAACACAAAAATGCTACATTTATCACTATTGTAAGCTAATTTAACCACGGGGGTGGTTAAAGTAGCATTTCTGAGTTTTGAAATCTACGTTGAAATATTGCAGTCACTTGTTTTAACGATTGAATTGTTGAATCAGCAATTTAATTATTTCGAGAGCACTTTTTTTTTTTTTTTTCTACTTCGAATAGCCCTAAAGGGCTAATCCCACGCTTTGAGTCCCATCCCCCCTCCGTCCCTACTGAACCAGTCCCAGGCAACCATTGTTTGAGACCATCAAACTCGGGTCGCCTGGCCGGGAATCGAACCCGGGACCTCCCGATCATAGAGCAAGCGCTGCAACCACTACACCATAGGAGGCCAACTTAACGAATCAATAAAAATGGAGTCTTACGAGAATGTGACGAGTCCCCAATTTTCCATGCCACCGACCGGGAAATATTTCGGGGGGATAGCGACCATGTCCAGCTTGGGCAGCGGGTACTTCATATCGAAGTATTTCTCGAGATAATCCAGCACTTTGGGAGCGTAGTTGCTGGCGAACTTGGTCGAGTTCCGTTCGACGTGATTTGGACGCGCCCAGACCCGGATCTCGACCCCCGACTTGCTTCGCACGATCTCGTCGTGGGCGAAATCCGATACAACGAAAGCGACCAGGTACGTTGACATCGGAAGCGACTCGGCGAATCTGTCGCGGACCCAATCTACCTTACCCCTCCTGAAAGTTTGAGTTTGAAATAAGTTCATAAGTAAAATACGCCATGTAGATAGACAGATAGATAGGTAGGTAGGTAGGTAGGTAGGTAGGTAGGTAGGTAGGTAGGTAGGTAGATAGATAGATAGATAGATAGATAGATAGATAGATAGATAGATAGATATATAGATAGATAGATAGATAGATAGATAGATAGATAGATAGATAGATAGATAGATAGATAGATAGGTAGATAGATAGATAGATAGATAAATAAAAATATTTCATTTTACCCTTTCAGGTTTATTAAAGGAGTAATTAACATTTTCCACTTAATCTTTTTTCTCTTTTTTTTACATAAGTATTTATAATAAAAGTACATAAGTATATGAGGACTTATATGTAACAATGGCGGATGTGAAAAATTACCTTTTCGAAACACATTAAAAAAACTGTTTTGGCATCGAGAAAATTTTGAGAGAATACGTGAGATGTGATCTTCGAGATCTGTACATTATGCCAGAGCCAAATTAATTAAATTTTTGTGCGAACAAAACAGTTTTATAAGCGTGTTTCGAAAAGGTAATTTCTTACATCCGCCATTGTTACATATGAGGCCTCATATAGTAAAGTATTCTGTGAAAATCTCAAGCCATAATATTGGTTTAGTCTCCTCCTATAAAATAGAATAACGGAGATTTTGAAACATCGCAACCGAGGTACGTGTTTTCGCTGTTTCACCGTCAATATCCTGTCTCTGTTTTTATACCGGATTTGATTATCAGGATACCGTACTTACGATGAGATTGTCAAAAGGAATGATAAAATCGGTCGGAAACTCACACGGGAACTTGATCCACTAATGGCATGTTACTCAGAGCTGTGTACTTGCTACAATGTTGGATGGTTAATGCGAATGTTGCTTTCATGTGCGGCTCGTCGAAACAAGGAAACGCTCTTCTTGCATAGGTTGGCTCGAACTGGGTCACCGCCATTGGCCTGAGGAAGGAAATATGCCTGTTTCATGGACTGAGGAAGAATCCAGTTACAGCAACTATTACTACTCTGCGGATGATCGTGTTGCATGCAAAAAAATTGAAGGCGCTTTGAATGTCGAATGGCTCGCATTACACAGCGATGCAGCTCTTTCAATGAACGCTACGCTTCCGTATGTGAACCGAATCCAAAATATTAACAGTGATTTTGAAGAAAGTTACATTTACTAATCCTCGAAATTTTCAAATGCACTTACATAGTGTGGAGAAGGTAGTTATGAGTAAGTATGAAATTTTAAAAATTCATTGATTGTTTGAAGAATTCTAATTTTACTAGCATAAACATTACCCTGTCCTATGTAAATGTGACGGCTCTTCATGGAAACAACGGACTGACCAGGGAAATTTATAGACAAAAAATTATAGACAAGAAGACGATCGGAAAACGGAGCGATCCTATTGGTTGAAACGGGTGGTTATTTTGGACTGAGAGGGAAAATTATGGATTACCTGGAGTGTGTCTCTTGGATTGCTGTTAGTTCGTCTATTACTTCCTTACTTCGACTATTTTGCAACTACCCGCTTTTGCCGATTGAATCGCTCAAATTCCTCCTTGTCCAGAGCCTTGTCTATCAACTTCAATGATCAGCCCGCAAGAAATTGTCACGTCATGAAATGGTTTACTTTTCTACCCTGCGTTTTAGTCTCCAAACTTTCCATTGGCTAGGTATCCGGACAACCTATACAGCAGGTTTATTTCTGAAATTTGTAGATAAAGCTATAGACAAAAAGGACACAAGGAATATGGAGGGATCCTATTGGTGTAAGCAGGTGGTTGCAATGGACAAAAGAGGTAAGTAATAGACTAACTAATGACAACCCACGAGAGACCCTATAGTTAGTCCATTATCTATATTCTTCCTTAGTCTATGAGAACCACTCATTTCAACCGATAGGATCACTCCATACTCCTTATGCTTTCTTTGCCTATTGCTTAGTCTATCAATTTCAACAATCAGCCAGCAGGAAGGTGGTTTCGGTATAATAACACTTTTTAGACAATCCTCGTGAGAGAAGACTATTAGTTTATTTCTATCGTTGCTCCATTTTCTGACTTTTTAAAAACCCTTATAAATCTTAACATCTTGCTTCTAAGAACTGATGTTGGCTTGGTTGGCACCTTCATGACTTCTCCGCAAATCTTAACGGATTAAAAATAGTTACGCTCAGAGTAGGCAACTTTACAATCAGCTTCCCTTATCATTTCAATTTCAGAATACAGACCATTAGATACGTTAGAAGATTCGATCAAATTTCATTTTTTTTTTTTTTTTTTAAATGCTTTATCTCTTATCCACCTTTGCATCTGATAGCTCCAGAGATTACGTGTTCCTCTGTTGCCATATTGATCGTGATATCTTTTCTTCAATCCTCCAATCAAGTGCCTCTATTTGATCACGGGCATTTGTGACATCACTACCTTTATAAGGCACTCCTCAGAGGTAGCAGAGGTACACTCCTCTCTGCGTCCTACCAATTCGATCAGTGCCCGGCACGCACGACAGACGACGAAAAAAGGACTGTTCGGTTGTCCCAAAATTTTACTTTAATATCGTGTAACTAGTCTGTTAAAAATATTTATCACGAAACAAACACGTACTAACTGTTTAGAACGTTGTGTGGAGTTGATGGTGGTATTTAGATGTGATTTTTACCTTGTGTTTTTTGTGTATTATATATACATACAAATAAGTCGCTTTACAGCACTCCCTCGTGTATTATACACGAAAAAAGTAAAATTGTGAATCTGAAATTTTTAAGAGATAAGGAAGACGTTAATAGGTGCATCAAATTTCGTAGTTTTTACATATTTTTCAAATGGTTTGACTCTTCATTATTGCGGAGGTATTATTTTCCGACTATAGTAAGACTTTTTAGCGACGAGGACCTTTTGAGGAACTAAATAACAAACGCCGAAAATACGATCGCATATTTTGCTATTACATTCAGTTTTTTCCACATTTCCGAACCAACTATTAGAATCTGGTTGTACACACCTTGTGACGTTATTTGAATCTCGGTAAAATGCTCGATAAAGCCCCATGCGATCTTTCCTGAGCTTGCCGAAGAAAGGTAGTTTATATGAATAGTTTTTGCCAGCCGCCAATTCGTTTTCGGTCTCTACGATGAGCTGCTCGTATTCCAGATTGTGCGAGTGATCGGAAATCATGATGCGATTCGACTCAAGTCCTGAACTTGACAGCTCATTCAACCTCACATAAGACTGGAATATGGTCAGATTCCTGGCGTGGAGCACGATCTTGTTCGTTGTTTCTTTGCATGCCATCTGAGAAAAGATTTTTAAGAAGTATGGATTCAGAGGGGGAAACAAGGTTTCGAAATAATTATTTCCTATCAAGGAGTTGTTGCGCTAAGGCATTTAAGGCTTTGAGAAGCTATTTAATGTGTCCAGCTTGAGTGTAAATTATACGTGCTCTAAAACGTCAATTTTTTTATCAAGTCTCTGATAATTGGACTGAGTTAAGCAGAAAGGAACCAACCCACATTTTGGAAAAAATTGAGTTATGAGTGGTTTTGAACCCAACCACTGCTTTACTCTCTATCGCCAAAAATTCAAAGTTTTTGTTGGAGCAAATTTTGCAGAAATTGGACTTGCAGTTTAACTTTTACATTGAGTCTTATGCAGGAGCTAAACTTTAAGCCTCTTTTTCTCGGTTCAATCCCGATGTGGCTTGGTTCCTTTCTGTTTAACTCCGTCCAATTATCAGTATTGATATTGGAGTGATTAATTTGTTCGTGGTTTGAACTTGAGGCTTGAGCTTTATTGGCTCTGCAAACAACTTTGGCGTAGCTAACGCCAGAGGAAATTTTTTGAAAATGTATAACTAAAGGTTTGGGGGGAGGGAATCTTTTTTACGGATTTGCTTGTAGACTTTACGGCCCCTGCAGTTGCCAAGACGCACACCTCCACAGAGGGCACACGTCGGCAACACAGGAGAGTTGATCTCCTGGGCTTCAAGCTTTTGGGGGCAAACGTCGAACTTACGAAAATTGCCACAGACGATAGAGCGGAGGGCTTTAGAGCAAATATTTTTTGGAATGCCCCAGAGAGAGGGGATTTTTACACTGGATAACTTCCTTAATCTTATTCGGGAATGGACCACTAGACAAGGTACGAATTTAAGCAATCTGATACATGTTTCTCAACCAAAATTTCACGTAAAACACGATTCACAAAACGAAAATTACTGAAACTAACTCTTAACGAAGATATCAAAGTTTTTACTACACATTAGTAAAGTTACGAGGAATTTGAACTGCCCGCTCAAAAGAAACTCAAAGCTCTACGTGAGTCAAATCGCGCACAACAACGGTGTCAGCAAGCTTCTCAATCGAGCAATGTTCATTTCTCACCATGTGTTGTTCAAACTATAAGCGATTTGCTATAGCTGAGCCAAAGCGTCAAGATCGAGGTTGCCAGATTTTTATATTGTAGAGACTGTCATGATAACGTTTAGCGCTCGATGTGAATCACGTAGAGCATTGAGTTTTCATGAGCGTGTGGTTTGAATTCATGCATCAAGAATCATTAAATATCTTTGTAAAAAGTAGATTTCGGTAATTTTCGTTGTGTACATCGTATTCTACGTAAAATTTTGGTTTAGAAACATGTATCAGAATGCTGAAATTCGTACCTTGTCTGTGGTCCATTCTAATTTAATGATAAAGTCATCGATAGATGTAATATTTGGTATCACATTACATAATAATTTAAGTAAGAGATAATGATTAAGCCAATTAAAATATTATATTTGTATATTTTTATATCTTTTAAATACCCGTAGTTTCACAAGATCTGACGATGGGCCGAGTCGGCTACCGTAAATTTCAGCAGTGAGGATCATACACGCCAACGAGTCACCTCTGATTCTGATTCATCAATTTAATAAAAGCAACTGTTTGAGCTAGAAATAAAAGGTTCCCTTCTCGAAAATGCAGTTTATAGTTTCATCTTTTGGAATTTTCTAATGATGCTCGCAAGAAATGCTAAACTAAGTGAATAGAATATGTTCAGCCATGGGCGGATCCAGACTTTACGAACCGGGGGGGGGGGGGGGGGATGGTTCCGAGAGCCTCCTTCGGAAAATTTTTGAATTTTCAAAGCATCGAATATGCAGTTTGATTCAATTTCGTCACGAATTATTTTCAATTGTAAGCGTTTTTCTTTCTTCTTTCCTCCGCTCGTTCCTCCTTTCCTCCTTCTCTATTTCCTCTTAATTTTTCAGGCGAACGGGTGGAGGGGGGGGGCGTAACACTCCCTTCCCCTCAGATCCGCCTTCATTGTTCAGCACACATGATTTTTGATTCTCCAATGCAGCATAGACCCTAATTTACACCTATGGACCCTGACAGTCATCCCAGGGTACTGGTTGTTATCGGAAAATTTCCGTCACAAAATATGCACATCAACATCGATTAGAAACTCAATGAATCAATTAATTTTGATTCTGTTCGATAATCAATCAAATGTTGAATTTTTGAGGGTCCGAAAGTGCAATTAATCGATACCTGATCGGAAAACTCTATAGAATATCGCTCACCTTAATTTTCACATATCCCCTGAATTTAAAATAATCTTTTTCGTCATGAAGGCCAGTTGGATCCAAGTTGACCTCGAGGAACAGATCGTAATGGTACGGTACAACACTCCCATCAAGGCGGTAAGGTTGAGGGGCGCGGAAGCCAGTTGCTTGCCCTAATATCCACCCCATAGATATGTAGAGGAGGAGTTGAACCATGATTTTATGCGCCTGTCTCAAACCTAAAATAAAACAATCAAATGGTGTCCTTAACATTTTTATCCTCATGTAAAGGTCTCAATACGCGGTCAAATCCCCGAACCAATTACCATCAAAGTGCCAGGAGTCATCAGTCTCAAAATCATTACTTTGCTTAATTTTAAAATGTAAACCTGGCAGAAATGTTTCGTGCGGCAGGAAATGACGAATGATGGAACTCTATTCTGATCAAAATTTGACGGCTCGTCCAATTTTGATTAGAGAGGACTGTTGCATGGTGACCATCAGTCATCAACTGGTCTACTTTGATCATAATTGGTTCGGAATTTGATCGTGTATCCAGACCTTATGATAGAGGATAAAAGTATGGTTTTATCCTTTTAGAGCTGCCCCCCCCCTAGTTTTTTACGTATTTGATGATCCTTCCAAAAAAACAAAAATAGATTTTTGTACAAAATTTCGGCCCAATCCCAAAAAACTCTCTGATTATTTTTTAAGAACAAATTATACCAAAAGCATACGATAGCTCTGCCGTTTGAATTCATCATTTAAAAGTAGGTGATATCAAAACGGCCCAATTTCCCCCTTAATACCTATGCAATATACATCGCAAAGTTTTTTCCTAAAAAAAATCAAATACTTAAAAGGTATAATGGTCTGGAACACGTTTTGATTCATTGTTTAAAAGGAGTGATATCAAAACGGCCCAACTTCCCTTAAATTTGCCCACCTCGGGGCAAAATTATTCGAAACTTTCCAACTCATCACTTAAGAGACACCAACCACTACTTGAGTTTTAGTATATCTCNCATCCTCAAGGGGGCTTTCTTGTGATGATAAATCGTCTTTTTATAGCTTCGTTTATTACGGACAGGAGACACATCGTGGAGCCACGGTTTCACAAGCAGCGTGCGACGCGAAGATGTGCACTCGCGACCTGCGGGCCAATTATTGAAATTGATGGACAAAGCTATAGACAAAGAAGGCAAAAGGGATACGGAGGGATCATATCGGTAGACGCGGGTGGTTGCAATGGACAAAGGAGGTAGGTAATAGACTAACTAACGGTAACCCACGAGAAACACTATAGTTGTTAGTCCACAATTTTCTAAAGGAGCCACCCATCTCAACCAATAATAATAAATAATAATAATACACGTAATATCTTTATCTGTTGTTTGGCTTGCACATGGCTTCTACAAATGCGTCGAATTTTTCTAAACAAAAAACAAGAATAAATATATGTATATATAAAAAAAAACGACAATGATGTCAACCTGTCCCATTTATAAAGTCGTTGATTGAATAGGGACATTGCTCAATTAGATATTGTCTGACCAGGGCATTGTGGCTTCGGGGCTCATCTTTAATTTTTAGCGGCTCTGGTGCTTGCACTAGAGCTGCTATTCCGGACGGTCCCAGCTGGGGAGTATCATTGGACCATGTTACATTGGAGAGACCGCGCGTTGGTTAATGGGAATCGGCGCCATTTTCGGCTATGTTCCTTGTCATGACTTTATTTTATTGCATATTGTTTTATTGTTAGCCAATGCTATGTTGTGTAGTGTATTTTTGGAATCATGGTGATACAGTCAATAATTCAAAACTTGTCTGTGCTTTAATCTCGTGATGGAAAAAATGTACTTTACGTTCAAAATTTGAAAATTTGAATTTTAAAGTTTTCGCGGTTAAGGAAGCTCCAACCACTGGGTTGGAGCTTCCTAGTCATATTACTCGATATCAGCTGATAGCAAACAAAGGTTACCAAGGAAACCGTAAACGTCTAATGCCGTCTGCCCACGTAGCAAATGGGAGGCGAAAATGGAAGTCATCAGTGCACCGTTGAGTGTTGACGCCCGATCCCATTTTCAGACATGTTCACACGTTTTGCTTACAAAGAAAAAAGGCGGCAAATCAATTTTTATTATTGGACCAATGAGTGTTCTCCAATTTGAGTTTGTAAACATCGTGGTTTCTAGGTTAGGTTTTTGGCTGTGTGATAAATGATATTATGCCGTCTTTGATTTTGTTAAAATGACTCGATATATGTTATTTGATAAACGATTGGAGTTTTGATAAAGTAAGTTGATTTGAATTAAAAATTGTGTCCTTAAAAAATGGATGATGAGGTGATTTGGTTAACATGGGCATTTGTGGTACTTGCGGCGTATTGGGAGTTTGTATGGAAACGACGTGGCAGTAGTCCACACTTTTTACAAGAAACTATTTTGTACAAAGTTCTGTACAAATTTTACACTATTTATACAGTAATATAATACAAAAAAATTATGTACTTTATCACAACTCACATAGCTTCAAAACAAGATAGAAAATGATGGATGCTCAGCCCCGACACATCGATGATCGCGAAATTTGCGCGGCCCGCGCAATTTTCACGTTCAACACTCACCGATGCACTGATGACTTCCATTTTCGCCTCCCATTTGCTACGTGGGCAGACGGCACACAACTACCGTGGCCATCGGGGCGATTATTGAAATGACATCGACTCTATGTCGCCGCTTACGACAAGACATATAGCCCTATCTTAACCGTGTAATATATCGCAATTCGATATTCAAATCCATTACCTACAATTTCAGATATAAAAATGCAAATTTTTTGCAGCCTCGCGAAACGACTTATCAACCATGCATTCCAAAGTTTCTTATCACAGGGCTGTGAAAATATACAATCTAATAAATACAAAATAACCAAATATCTAAAAAGACAAAATTTCAGTTACAGTCAGTTTCAGTCTTATTGTTGCACAAACTAGTTATTTGACAAAAAAGAAGATGATCACTCAATTGAAAGAAATTGGCGCCCAATCACAACGACAAGTTAAAAAAATACTGTGGGAGAAATTTTTTAGGATGCGGACCTCCAAAGAGCCTTCAAAATTAAAAGTATACAACAAGTGATAGTGCCATCCATTCTGCATATCAAGGGCCAATACACATTTATACACCGGCTACGTAAATCTGCTAAGTTACAAAACATGAATCGACAGTTGTCGGATTGTACATCAGTGACAAAATGTGTCTAGGCCCTCATTCTTGACTACAACTACTGTCGCCAGAGCCGCTCTCCGACGCGAATGCGTTGGAGCTTCCTGCTTGTTTTTCCTTATGTTTGGTGGTAGTTTACAGAAAAAGTTATGGCCTCGGGCCGCTGTTTTATTAATTTTTATGATTAGACTTTCTGTTCTGTTTCTGGTGTTGTGGTTGTGCACCACTCTCGATTCCTGTAGTTTCTTGTTGTTGTAAAATTTCAAAGATGAGTATATGATCAATGCTGGAACAGTTAAGATTTGTAATTTTTTAAAATGTTCCTTGCAAGATTCTGTAGGCTATAAGATCGCCCTAAATACTCCTTATGTCTTCTTTGTCTATAGCTGCGTCTATCAATTTAAATAATTAGCCTGCTGATCTGATGATTTCAAACCTGTCCCTTATCACACACGGTAACGGTGTGAATCGCCTTTTCGATTGCGACAGAAGGGTTCGGAATGATTGTACCTGACCGCGCAGGGTTGATTTCTGCCGTGCTTAGGAGAAACACCGTATGAGCACTCAAACGTTGCCAAATCTCCTTTCATGTATTCCATTCTCCAAATCATGTATTTTCGAGAAAATGTTTAAATATCTTTCTTAGAATTTTGAGAGAATGTAGTTCGTATTTTGATCTAAAGTGTCTGAAAATTCCATGAAAAAATATCCATAACTTTCTTCAATAAGACACATTTTCTGAGAGGAAATTTGGCAACATTGGAATACTCATACGATGTTTTTCCTTAGCACGGCAGTTTTGATGAATCGAATTTTTTAATTACCGAAGTCTCAGTGATCGATTAATAATCGAGACGAATCAAAATTAATCGATTAATCGAGGATTCATGCTTTATTGATTGATAGGTAAATGTTTAAACTTTGAAACGCTAAATCGTCATAATAACAATCTGTACCGGGTGCGTTCTGGGATGCCCACGAAAATTTCTAGGTGAAACTCAGCATCAGCATCCGTGCCACGTTGAGAATATAAAATCATGTGTTTTGGACCGTTTGCGAAGATAATTTTGAATAGTTTAGTTAGTCATAGTTTATCAGCATTTTTTGGCTCCGAGCTGAAATTTGTAGAAATTTGACATGGGAACTGCGAAGTTTTTAATTTCCAATAAGTCGGTAGTAACTAATCGATTAAACAGTTAATCGAAATTTGAAAATTCAATGAATCGATTTAATGTTCGATGATCTATGATCTACGCAGAGCCGCAGGACCAACATTGCGTCGCCTAGCTCCTGTGGAACCATAACTTAGGTCGTTAAACGCCTCCCCTCCGTGACTGGCTGATTTATTGGCCACGTCATTCTTGCGATATTCGACTGGCGATACGAAATGATTCGACCTATCGATGTGCAATGGCTCCAACAAAAACAGTGCAACATAACCCCATGCGGAGAAGGAACTTGCGAATCAGTAGCTGCAGTAGTTGCGGATTTAGAGTACCTGTAAAATGGAGAGAAGGAGGAAAGGTTGCCCGAACAATTAGTAGATTGAGCACTAGAGTGGCCCACAAAAAATGAATTTCGGAAATTTATAGCCGTAAAACCCTAGATCGGTTACAGCATGTTCAAAAACACGGAAAATGAAATTTGGGGTCAATCGAACAAAATTAACCCGACGCGCAGTCGCCATTTATCCAAGCAAAAATAGCGAATGTTTACTGTTTTTCAATAATTTTTCGCTCCCCAAAAAATAAAGTCGGAGGGGTCTGCAAATTAAACAGAGGGCAAAATTAGTTCATAAACTACACCCTAGTGAAGTTTTGGACCCCATCCATGCTTTTGACCCTACAAGAAAATTTCACGCATGAAAATAGCGAATTTTTTACTGTTTTTGATGATTTTTCCCTCTCGATAAATTAACGTTACCGATGCCTAAATTGTAATCAGAGTGTGAAATTAGTAGCTTAGATGCTCCCAATGCTCCCCTTCTGATAATTTTGACACGCTGCGACGTTGCCATTTTTCTGAGCAAAATTGTGAATTTCGACTTATTTCAATATCATCTCTCTAGACCTAAAAAAAACTCAGGAGCCATCGAAAAAGTGCGCTAAAATACCGCTAAAACACAGGGATACTTCACTCATTGCGCAATGCATGCAGTATCCCTGTTAGGTTTGTAGGCGCCAATGCAACTATTCCATCACGAAAGTATTGCACGGTATCAAATGTAATTGAAGGCGCACTAACGTATGAAACTTGACTGTTACCGGCATGGTGTCAGAGTGTATTTTTTAACGAGGAACTTGAATCTCAACTCAATCTTTTAAAATTCAAAAATCCAAAATGGCAGAAATTGCCAAAAATGTTATCTTGAGACTTTCGAAACCTAAGACGGTTGACTGCCTGACCCAATTGAATGCTCTTTGTCACATATTTGGACGTATTTATTTAGCATTTATAAGTATTTTAAAAGAAATCAGAGACAGGAGGGTAAGAAGGAGTCTGCTCGTTAGTTGAGGGCCGTAAGAATGAATGCCAGTGACGTCAGCGGTGATGACTCAGATGTGCAACGACGAGGAGATCGGTGCTGGTGCACTTTAGCTCATGAACCTTGTCCACGACGCTCTCGTGAAATGCCCACGGCAAATCCCAAATTGTTATTTTTTTGGGGGGAATCACGTCGCGCCTACTTTTAAATTTTTTCTTAAGTAGTTTTCTAGAGCACATCCCATCTTTCCCACACGTTTCAAGATTTTTTTTTTTTTTTTTTTTTTTTTTTTTTTTTTTTTTTTTTTTTTTNTTTTTTTTTTTTTTTTTTTTTTTTTTTTTTTTTTTTTTTTTTTTTCAAGCAAATATACGTCCATTTGATCAATTCATCATTGTTTTCAAAATTTAAAGCAATGAGAAAACATCTAATTATCAAAATTGATCGATATTTAAAAAAACATAGATTGTTTGAACGATGGCCGATAAAAATACGATGCGGAAAAGTGGCCAGGTCGCATTTAAGAATAATTGATTTTTCAATCGATTTTTACCGTCCGAAAGCCAATACACTGAAAATCTGCATTAAAAACGTGCAAACCTTATATGATCTGACCATCAGCTTACGCATTCAATAAAATTCCTGATTCAACGATTGGCTTGTGACAATTCGTGTTTTCAGCTTTAGCACATCAAATGTGATTGAGCACCAAGTCACCAAGGTAATTTACAAAACATGAGGGTTTCTTCGTTTTTTATTCTTTCTTCGAAATTTAAAATCTGCGCTTCTAAGGGTTAAAATTCTAATTATCAAGTACAATTTAAAATAGGTTGATTGGAACTTTTATTGGTTCCAAAAAAAAGTATTAACCCACGTCAATTCATACATGGTAATTTACAAAACATGAGGGTTTCTTCGTTTTTGAGCGTTCACCACTTTAGTTGTGTACGCTCTTTCCCGTCGTTTTGCATCGGGTACGTTACTAATGTATCCATTGGTAAAGGTCCGCACTGCTCCATGGGAATCGGCGCTATTTTTCGTGGCGGGAAGCAACACCTATTTTCTCAATTTTTAATGTACCACACTAGAAAAAAAAGTCGCTTGGATCTAGAGTCCAGACTCTTAAAAACATCGACAAGAAAAAATACTCTTGATTCAATCGGATTTTTGCTTGAGTCAAGAGGAAAACTGCTTAAATGAAGAGGCTTGGTTCTCGATTTAAGCAAAAATCCGATTGAATCAAGAGTGTTTTTTCTTGTCAATGTTTTTAAGAGTCTGGACTCTAGATCCAAGCGACTATTTCTTCCAGTGCATTTCTACCTTTTTTCTCCTATTTTGTCCACACTTAATGTAATGCCTGTAGGCTTGTCTGTGAGAAATTCATATCTTTAAGTTTTAAAACTCTGCAACGTACTTTTATTTAATGACTCGTTCAAGGACCGTTCAAATTTTCAGTCGTCGGAGATCTAAAAAATTGTTGGGTACAAAGTATCCCTTCACTAATGACCCCTATATTTTACTCTATGAAGACAAGTCATTTCTTATATAGATGTATGTTTCCTAGATTACGCTCCACGTTTAGCTCAACAGCGTCTTGCAGCGCTCTCTTCCGTCCGCGCAAAACTACTTTTACATATTGACGAGGTGCTACGGTGAACGCTCTCCAGCCCTGCAGGATAGACGATCAAATTCCGAACCAATTCCGATCAAAGTAGACATGCTGATGACTGATGGTCACTATCCACCGTCAAATTTTGACGGGCCGCACTATTTTGTTCAAAGTAAGATCAGAATGGAGTGCCACCATTCATCATTTCCTGCCACAGGAAACATTTCTCCCAAGTTTTCATTTTAAAATCAAGCAAATTAATGAGTTTAAGACTGATGACTCCCGACACTTTGATCGGAATTGGTTCGGGAATTTGATCGTCTATCCAGGGCTTCCCTCCAACGTCTAAACGTTGGAACTGTCGTCTTGTTTTTCCTTTCTTCAAAATTTAAAATCTGCACTTTAAAGGGTTAAAATTATAATTATCAATTACAACTTAATATAGGTTGATTGGAACTTTCATTAGTGTGAAAAAAAGCATTAGCCACAGTCATTTCGTACACGCGCACGCGCGGTACAGTCATTGGCGTCAAATGAAATTGATGATAGGATATAAAATAATTAAATACTGTCTTTTCAATTTTTGTGGTAAGCGTGGGATAGTTGTTATCGCTCATCCAGATTACTTATGAAATAATAAGACAACTTCATGTAATATGCTCTGTTTATTCATTTGCTTGGTTTTACATGATTACAGGTTGTTGACTAAGAGATGCAATTGAAATACAGTTTGAAAAGGATCGAACGGAGAGGACATGCTCATCACTAAATGGCATCTTGATATGACGTAAGTACATTACATGTCAAATGATTGATGCTTTTCAACAGTTGATCAATGTTACAACTAAGACAGAAAAATAGAAATATTCTATAAAGTTCGTAAAAACGGCGCAAGATACTGCGGTATTTTAACATAGTGTGCAGCATGCCATTTCACATTTGAATCAATCGTATCCAAAGCTCTCTCGACCGCGGGCTTTGAGACTTTGAAATACTCGTCAAATTTTTCTGTTAAAGCTTTGATTTCATTGTATTCTTTGATTGAAGTCATTTGATCGGCCACCACTTGGATGTATCGGCCCATGATGGCGTTATCGGCTCCGTGATAAGTGAAAATATCCGGGATGCGTTTCTCAAAGAAGTTCTTGGCAACTTCGAAACCCACTTCGTTTTCGGCGACAGCCTCGAAGATGTGCACAGAGTCCTGGGGTGGAATCCTCGAGAACTCATCGATGCTCCAATCTAGATATCGCTTGAGAGTCCAAACCTGGAAAAATGAAAATTAGCTCTAAGATACAAGCATCATGAAATACATATATATCGCGACGGGGAAACTCCTAGCCCACATATCTCGGTTTGCGACGTTACAGATTTCTTGTCATACTTATTTTTTAAATGGAGAACTACTTACCCTAGTAGCACACCAAATTTTTGTTCTTCTGAAAAAAGTATAAAAAAACATATATGTTATCTAAATGGTGACTTTATATAAAAAACGTGTAACGCTTATACAAAAAAAATCAAAGTTCAGACCTGACCATAATATATGAAAAATGATAAAAGCTAGATAAGGTAATTTTTTTTTTATTGACAATTTTTTATATAACGCATACGAAAGTGTTAAAAGTGAAAAGTTTTATGTAACTATTATATAAAAAAAAGGGTCATCATTTTCGTGAGCTTTTCGCGAATTAGAAGATTTTATAGTATGTTTGCGAAAAGCTCACGAAAATTATGACTTTTTTTTACTATAATGGTTACATAAAAATTTTCACTTTTAAAACTTTCGTATGCATGCGTTATATAAAAAAATTAACTTTCGTGCATGATCTTTATCTTTTCCTTCTATGGTTCTGCTACTAGGGCATCGTCAATTCTTAAAAACTACCGCAATATTTTCTTTCCGTGTGAGGCAAATTCTGAAAATATTTCAAGGAATGGCTTTGATTTGGACGTATTGCTGCTAGACGGAACTTTTTTTACACTCATTTGTTCATTTTTTCTGATAATGTGTCAAGGAGAATTATTTCGAATTCAAAAATACTTTTTATAGAATTTTCATGGTCATCTTTCCACTGGACACAAGAACGTGAATAATACACTTTTACTGGGCCAAAAACAAATAGATCAAAAAGTTGTGGACAAAAAGTCCGTAAATACCTCCAGGAATTTAAGTATGCTTTGTGGAAACATTTTTGTTAACTTCAGGAGATTTTGTAGACATTTCTGAAGCTAAATCAAGAAATATTCTACCACTCGAGAATTTGGCCTCGATAGTGATTTCCCCCTTCGACGAGGCCGTCATGTTCTAAAAAAACAAAAAGAAGTTGAGCGTACCTTACGGGAACAGGTCAGCGCTGAGAGGATGCTTGACTTGTCAGATGCTGAGTCAGAATTGAGGTATCTTTCCCAGAGGAAGTCCCACTCTTCATCTCCTCCGTTCTTGACGGCAGTGCAGGAAATTTGTCTCAAAATGTTCTTCGGGATTGGATTTACTGAGTCAGGGTTCTCATTATTATACCTTCATGAAAAAGGAATTAAAGTCAATACAAATTCAAAATCGGGCGAGGGAAAAGTGTTAGCACATGATCGAATGATAAGAGAGACACAGCCCAATACCCCGAATTGGATTGCATTTTGCAATTAGGAACTATACATTCCTGCCCGGTTTAAAAACAACGTATAGGCCATTAGTTTCCCTATGCACATAAGTGTTTTTTCAGATAAGCCAGAATTTATAGGTCCAAATTGCAAAATGTAGTTCAATTCATAACGATAAAATGGATTGCGTTTTGCAAAAAGGAACCAAGAGAATTCCAATGTCGCTAAGATTGTGCAACTTCTTTTACCTTGCAATTATGAACTGTTCATCTAAACAAACTTTATCTTTACTCCCAATAAACTATCAATTCATACAGAATATTACCTTCGTGAATTTGATTGGTGGCATGATTTCAGTAATCTTATTGCAAAAAATGTAAGTTGCACAATCCTAGCAACATTAAAAAGCTCATGATTCCTTTTTGCAAAATGCGATCCAAATACAAGAACGTTGGAAATGGGTTTACAAGGCTGAAAAACAGAATATAAACACAACCAGGACGTTTTGGGCCAATTACCGTTCTCGACTGGAACTAAAGCTGAAAGAGGTGTGTGAAAAAACGGCCAAAAATGCCTCAAGGCATTTTCGAATTTTGATCACTTGGGGTGATACAGAAACTTCCGAGACGCCCAAAACCGGTCGCCGTTTTGCTTAGAAGCGCTGGGTTGCGACGTTGCCATTTTTTAAAGTGAAAACCTTTAAAAATTCATATCTCCACCGCATCTCAACCGATTTCAATGAATTTTTTTTTTAAAATGTTCCTCTTAAATAGAGCTTTCTAGTTATATACAGTTTTTTGGGGTTTACTTGGCTTTAAGTGGCACTTACGCGGTTTTAGCAGTTTTTGATAGACACAAAAATTTAGTTTTTATTTTACCACGATCGTGGAATCGACGGAATCTAAACAAAAACCAATCTAAATGAAAGTTCAGATTCTCACCTTTCTAACGAGCACAAGATCATCTCGGGGAAACGTTTAGTTCCCGAGATATGACCGCTCAAAGTTGGTCACATGCGCTTTGGCGCAATGTGAATGCGCCTTATCGCTAAGTCATTCGCGAACTGGGGGTCCCTTATGTTCAATTTACGTTGAAATAATTACACAGAGCAGTAAGGTGTACAACACGAGCCGTATTTTCACCTTCGGCTGCCGATGTGCGACGTTGCCATTTTTTGAAGTGAAAACTCTTAAAGATGCATAACTCCACTGCATTTCAACCGATTTCAATGAACTTTTTTTTAAAATGTTCCTCTTAAATAGAGCTTTCTAATGGTATCTAGGTCTCTGGATTTTATTCACCTTAGGGAGGCACTTAGGTCGTTTATATGGTTC